CTGCTACATATGGCGGCTCAAGGAATGCATTTTAGAAAAGGTTCCACACTTTCCACGTCCTGCTCTGATTCCAGCCTGAGCCAATATTCTGCATGATCACACATACCAACCAGGTTTAGGCAGTATTCAATGACAGATCTGCTTGCTGTGGGTGGTATCCCATCTTGGTAGGGGTTGGTATAGAAGTGCAGTAATACGGTCATACTGAAAGCAGTGCACCACACTGTTGTGGCTATGGCTATTTTTAGAGCCGATACAGATACTGGTAATCTGTGAACTTTCAGGCCGATAGCTGATAACGTACCAATATTCTGTACATTTACCATTTTTTAATTTTTTTTTAAACTAGTTCTAAAGGTAAATGCACAAAATATACATGCCACATGTAGTGGATGCAGTGTGTTTAGACAGAGGAGCTGTGTGTGTTTGTGTAATGTGTGTCTATATACTGAATGCAGTGAGTGTTTGTGTAGTGTGTATAGTGAATGCAGTATAATTTTATTTTTAATATTTTAATATTTTTTTTTGTCCCCACTCCCTGCTTGTTACCTGGCCAGGGAGGGGGGGGGATATGGCATTCCCTGGTGGTCCGGTGGCATGGACAGTGCAGTGGGGGGCCCAGCAAGTACTTACCTTCCCAGCAGCTCCCCTGTGTAAATCTCGTGGCCTGTGTGCCGCGCGGAGCATTGCCATAGTAACCCGTGGCAACGTTCTGATGGCCGTGGGACTCGCAAGATTTACACAGGGGAGCTGCTGGGAAGGTCAGTAAGAGCTTGCTGGGCCCCCCAGAACCGCCAGGCTTGTCATGGGCCCGGCGTTCCTGGTCTCTATTATCGGCAATATCTGTATCTTTATTGGACGATACCGATATTGCTGAAAATCGGCTAGACCGATATGTTGATCTCTACTCATGGTACCTTCAGGTTTCACATGTGACCTACCCTGCTCTGCAAAACTACTGCAGTCAATGGGTTTATGCAAAAAGTGGACTAAAAGGTTAGTCTAAAACAGCCAGTGGCATTTGTTTTCAGTTTACTGCGATATGAGATAACCCAGTACGTGTTTGACTTCAGGGTTATAGTGCCACTGCTCCATTGGCTACTTTGCTATTTGCAGCTGATCAGAAGCTAGTCGTTTTTAGTATGACTAGTTATGGGAATGTAAATTATAATAAACTTTAAACATTCTGCTGCCCTCCCCCTAAATTCTGCAAATAAATGAAAGTGATAGAAAGTTAAGGGTACCTGCTTGATTTTTTTTTTTTTACAGCAATACACCTTAAAACCGCATAATGAATCTGCAGCTTTCCCAAACCTGAAGACGTCCTAAAACTTTATTCCGAAACGGTCACATAGCCAGAAATATATAAGTAGTATGTCCAGTTTGTAAGTGCTTAAACTAAGGAGTTTTACTCACGCTTCAAAGGAAAACTTTAACCACCATCACCTCTACACTACACTGTAGAGGTTATAGTGCCATGTGCCTCTAAAAGTGGTCAAACAGTTTAGTTTTCCCATGCAAAACCTTCCTGGTTTGCAGTAGCTTTCTGCATTTTTAAAATGGGCTTCTAACTTGGACTATAACCCAACATGAAGACCACATATTCGGTGGTTTATGAATCAGAAGCACATGCTTCATACTACGTTGTCCAGCCATGTGTTAGAATATACAAATTTTCTTTTAATTTAGGAGCCAGGGTTTTAGTTTTTTACCCCAAAAATACACTATAGTCCCCAAAACCTACAGCGCAATATAGTGGTTCTGGTGGCTATAGCAGTTACTGCAAGCTTTAATATAAACACTGCACAGAATTTTTATTGCTCCTGCTTAAAGGACCACTATAGTGCCAGGAAAACACTCGTTTTCCTGGCACTATGGTGCCCCCACCCTCAGGGTCCCCCTCCCGCCCGGCTCGGAAAAGGGGTAAAACTTACCTTTTTCCAGCGCTGGGCGGGGAGCTCTCTGCCTCCGATCCTCCTCCGTTCCACCCCGTCGGCTGAATGCGCACTGCTGCGCGCGCATTCAGCCGGTCGCATAAGAAAGCATTCATAACGCTTTCCTATGGACGCTTGCGTGCTCTCACTGTGATTTTCACAGTGAGAATCACGCAAGCGCCTCTAGCGGCTGTCAATGAGACAGCAGCTAGGCTAGAGGCTTTGGGGGAAGGCTTAACCCATTGATAAACATTCTCTGAAACTGCTATGTTTATAAAAAAAAAAAAAAAGGGGTTAACCCTAGCTGGACCTGACACCCAGACCCCTTCATTAAGCTGAAGTGGTCTGGGTGCCTAGAGTGGTCCTTTAACACTAACTAGAAAAAGCTACAATTTCTGGTGAAATTGTGTGAAGTGTTCTTGCCTCCACCAATAGTCTACAACTGGAGTGGGCGGAGTAACTTATCATTTATATAGCACATTTAATTGCAACATTGTTGCACAGTTACATTAAACCATACATTTATAAAAACATTAGCAGGTGTACAAAAGGCCCTGTCTATGACATCACGTTCTGCTCCAGCCTGGCACAGGTCAGAGTATTTTGGCGGTTGCCATCTTCAAATGGTCGTATTTTAAGAACTATACATCCTACAGTGAAGAGCTTTATAATGTGAGAATCAAGACCCAGACCTACATTTTGATGCATAGTATGTCTCTGAAGTATTAAAATTGAAGGCACAGTCACAGCTGGCTGTTGAGTGGAGTTTCAATGAATGTCAATGGACGGCGTTCGTTGCAAACAAATGGTCATATTGTGAAAACTATCAGGACTATGGCTTAGCCGTGGACATTTTTAGTGGCGGCAGGGATAGCCGAACGTTTTGATATAAGATTTGTGTAGGTGGGCTTGAAAATGAGGGAGTGGTGGCAGTTTAGAAATCATGTCAGGATTTTTCAGCTTTTGCCAGCTCCCACTCTAGTTTTGAACATTTTGTCATTCATTCCTATGGGACCAATTTCGCCACAAGAACGATATTCCGTTAACCATTTGGCGAAACGTTCCACAAAGTAATAGCAATCCAATCGGGAACAATGCGCACATTTCGGTATATTACTGTCTATGTAGTGTAAAAATTGTGGGAGGAGTTAGGGTGGCAAGTTTGGCTAGAATAAGAACTAGAAAAGCTACAATTTCTGGGGAAATTGTGTGAAGTGTTCTTGCCTCCACCAGTATACAACTGGAGTGGGCGGAGTAACTTATATAGCACATTTAATTGCAACGTTGTTGCACAGTTACATTAAACCATACATTTATAAAAACATTAGCAGGTGTTCAAAAGGCCCTGTCTATGACACAGGTCAGAGTATTTTGGCAGTTGCCATCTTCAAACGGTCGTATTTTATAAATAAATCCTACAGCGAAGAGCTTTATATTGTGAGAATCACAAGACCCAGACCTACATTTTGATGCATAGTATGTCTCTGAAGTATTAAAAATGAAGGCACAGTCGCAGTTTAGAAATTGCACTTCAAATTTGAGTTTTGTAGAGTGAAGTTTCAATGAAAGTCAATGGACGGCGTTAGTTGCAAACAAATGATTATATTGTGAAAACTATCAAGACTATGGCTTAGCCGATGACACGTTTAGTGGCAGCAGGGATAGCTAAACGTTTTGATATAAGATTTGTGTAGGTGGGCCTGAAAATAAGGGAGTGGTGGCAGTTTAGAAATCATGTCCTGATTTTTCAGCTTTTGCCAGCTCCCACTCTAGCTTTGCCATTCATTCCTATGGGACAAATTTCGCCACAAGAACGACGATATTCCGTGAACCATTCGGCGAAACGTTCCACAAAGTAATAGCAATCCGATCGGGAACAATCTGCACGTTTTGGTAAATTTTTGTCTATGTAGTGTAAAAACTGTGGGAGGAGTTAGGGTGGCAAATTTTGCTATAATAAGAATAATATATATGTGAGATAACATTAAGTGGTCTTGCTATGCAAGAACACTTAATTACAGCCAGTAGAGGTGCCTCCTAGTCCAGTGCTGCACAGTGTGCATCATTTAGGTTTAGTGTCTCCTAGTCCAGTGCTGCACAATAGCCTCCCAATGCTTTCCTAGGGGAAAGAATTTGGATTGGTTGAGATCAAAATATCTGATTGGCACAGCCACAGTGACCAGCAAGGCCTGGAAAGGGGGTTAGGGGCGGGCGTAGAGGAGTAAAAATACCTTATTCATGAGATGAATCTGTAACCTAAACAGACACGCAATGGTTTAACACTTTCTTTCATACACAAACTATAAAATTAAGCCCTCTCAGCCTTGGAGTGAGTCCTTTCTGTGGGGCTGCTTATCCTGTAATTTCATGCTCTTCTTGTGCTTCTCAGTCGTGAAATCAATTTAGAGATGCTGGGGCTGGAGTGATGTCACAGCAGGGTGTGCGAGGAAGAATATCAGGAAGATTACAGCTCCTTCATTCCACACCGAGCCCCCTGAAACTGGCAGCTAAGGTGGGTAGTGCTGAACAGACTGACAAATACCCTACCTAGCGCAAGGACAAGATTCCTAGTCACCATGGTGACCTGGGATTTGTTGAGCCCTGTTATAACCCTTTCATGGCAGGATTAATGTTTGCCTGTCAAATTAAGTCCATATAAAAATGTGTGAATAAGATTTGTAAAAAAAACAAACAAAAAAAAAACATTAAGAAAAAAAAAAAAGCCAAACAATATATTGGACAAGAATTAAATGTGTGGGTGCTTCCCACTAAAGTTTGTTTTGTTTAAATACTTTACCTGTCAAAGTTACATGGGCACAGACAGTGTTACTTGTCTTGTCAAGTATATAAAATATATAACACTTGCAGAGTTTTAGGGATGAAGCTTGTTTTGATACAAGATCATTTGAGTAGATTCAGAAGCATGGTGGCAGATGAGATGTCATATTTATGAAGAGGATCCAGAAAATCTATTGGGTGCCTATAGTGTCCCTTTAAGTGAAATAATAGAGGCGGCAGGGGGACACTATTTTGATCCAGATATTTCTGTAATTAAAATGGGGTAAACAAAACTAAAAACGGACACTATACCGAGGGGGAGGGGGGGAAAAAAGCATAACTCATTTTTTGTTTCTGCTTCATTCATTTTTATTGCCCAATTGGTTCATTACATTATTTCAATAACTTTTACATAGCCAACCATTTTTATCACTGTCACGCCATTTGTAAACCACATCAGCAATACATAAAGCTTTGCTTTTCAAAAAAACTAGACACTTTAGTAACAATATTACAAAGGTTTTAGCATCAAAATAGAACTGAAATGGAAAAAATAAACTTTTAAAGAATTAGCATCATAAAATTAATTTATTCCAAGTAAAAATACAAAATAATATTATAATGACATTGACCAGATATGAAAGTACCTCTGAGGAACTGTATTAATGGTTGAGAAAGCACTCTAAAGAAATACAAAATAAAAAAATGAAAAATATGTAAATATGTTTAAATTTTTTTTTTCTTAGCAAAAAATCTCTCTAAAAATAACAATGAAAATTCTCGTCTCCGTACAAAGGCTACATTTACTATTGAAAAAATACCAGCATGAAGAAAAAGGTACATATTTGACAGTAGAAAATGATTTTACGGGACCCACAATGTCTGCAATGAAAATAAGTTTGCAATAAAGATTTATGCTTTTTTTTTCTTCTTTTTTTCCATATTTTTATATAAACAGTACAAACAGTATTGCACATAACAAATAATCAAGATTAAGTCTGCCTTCCAAATATTGACTAATTCAAGTCTAACACCAAGAAAAGGCAACCAACTGAACTAATACATCCAACATTTTTTTTTACATTTTTATTAATCAAGTTGTAAGTCAAAACACATTTTTAAAAAATAATTTTTTTTTTCTTCAAATTTCTAAGGACCCTGTCAACACCCTTTGCTTTAAGAGGGTCAAGCAAAAAACATTGCACTGTCCCCTGAAATAGCAAGCAGGTTAATATGACACGCGGACAGCTTTTTTTTGTTTTTTGGGGGGTAGGGAGGGGAGAGGGGATGTACGTAGATTTACAAAATGGGGGGAGGGAGATAATATAATTTAACAAACTAAAAAAAGTCTTCTTTAAAAAAATACAAACAGAGAATTCTTTCACAATTCTGGTCAATCATGCATAATCAACTTTTGATTAGAAATATACAAATTAAGGGAGACTATTATTCTTATCTTCCCACTTCTTAGTCATGACTTCCAGCACCAAAGGACTGTTATATTCTAGTTATGTACATCATACACACAGTGTTATATACATACATACACACACACACACAGAACATGAATCAACCAAATGCTATACGTAGGTCAGGGGGTAAGAGGAGTGGGGGAGTGTGTGTGTGTGAGGGGGGTGGGGGGAGAGGACAGATTCTTCAAAACATTGATTCTTTCACATAGTTAGGTAGATGTTCTTTGTGAGCTGTTCTATCATATTAAATTTACAAAGCTCAAGTTTCTTCATATTCAAAAACAAATAGGCAAATGAGCATGAAAACAAATGAAAATAGCAATCTTAAATCATTTTCTTGCAAAACAATTAAATTAAATATATATATATTTCTTCCAGAATAAACTTAGAAAATATTTTCTTTTCCTATATTCAAAATTTGAGGTATTGCAAACTATCATATCAGAACGTTTTCCTTTTTCTTAACAAAAAAAAAATAAAAAATGATAAAAGCCAACTGTGGAAAACTGCCAAGATACAAAGAGTAGTGCATAACGACATACAATTTTACAGATGACCTAAAAAAATTAAAAAGATTTATAAATTTAGTTGAAGAAAAAAAAAAAATTATATAAAACACATAAGAGCAAGAACTCGCTCCTTCAATGGGGAGAAAAAAAGAAAAAAAAAAAAAAAGCTTTTAATGTAAGGTACGTACTGTGATGTAACCCCAGCACTAAATATTTCAATAAGAATATATCTCTTAAAGCAATTTAAAAAAATATAAAAATTTTCTGAGCCATATAATTGCAACTAAATATATATATATATATATATATATATATATATATATATATATATATATATATATATACACACACACACACACACACACACACACACACACACATATATATAGAAAGAAGAGGGAAAAAATATTGCAATTTACATGAGACAATAAATAACATTGTGGCCATATGAGCTTGAAATGTACAAGCCCCTTCTAGTCAGATAATACCACCTGATTTCAAATAAAACCAGAGTCCTATTTGTACACCAATAGGAAGAACAGATAAACTCGCAGTGTACCCATTCGTGACACATGTAAATACTATCAAGCGAACTCACAGCCTGTGCTAAAAAAATGCCCGTTGTTAGCAGGACTAAATATTCAAGCGTAACAGGATATGTCCAGGATAAAAAAAAAAAAATATGAAGCTTCACATTGGAAAAGGCGTGGCTTTCCTTATCGCTCTCTTTTTATACTGACATTTGTTTAGCACGTGCCTGGTGTACAAGGTCGACAGACAATATTATTTCGATTATTGGTAGTGTATAAGAGACTGGAATAATTAGTGTGCCCAACTAGGGCTGAACTAACAAACAAAATAAAAAAATAGCAAAACTATAAAATATATTCGGGATTTGTAACCAAGAAAGAGTTCAGTATTCTGCTAACTACCAGATCATTGCCGTCATATTAACACATGGCCATCACAGTACTTGACATTCACTTTACAACGAAATAAAATTGCACAATAAGACAGAGCACCGCAAAGTATTTATCTACCATTCTTGTTTTAAATAGCAATATCCTACATCTAGGTTTAATCACTGGTTGTAAATACAGGGGAAGAAAGGCTGTAATGGGTTTAATCCTGCATATTTCGATGCGTTACAGATCAGACATGTCTTCCTCCAGTCAGAATTTCTTAGCTTATAGGAATATTTCTCTATATAGAATTATTTAATTCTGCGCAGTCTGCTACGGTTCGCCATTATGTCGTATATAGAACCTATTTTTATCGCATGCAGAACCTGATGCGTGAAACATGCAATAAAACTGAAACGACTTTCCTTGGAAGTAATCTACGACAATTATCAGCAGCTGTTTAACTTAATTTTAATCATATATTGTGTTTTATCATTATTTTTTTTATTTTTTATTATCACCACAGATACCCTAGCTTCAATAGAGTATTCGTTATTAATACCATTTTAAATAGCAGCAAAAGCTATTGCAGCATAAAGTTACATAACACTAAAAGGGGTCTACCTCCCTTTACACTTACCCCCACAAAAAAAAAAAAAAAAAAAATATATATATATATATATATACACATACATACATACATACATACACACACACACACACACACACACAATTCAGCCAACTTATTTAAAAAAAAAAAAAAAAAAAAAAGTTCACCCTTTGCAGTAAACAATTCTTTAACACAAAAATATATAATAAAAAATAAATCTTTTAAACCCATCAATACTGGAGATGTAGGCTAGTTTAGCAGTACGGGGTTCTGTGTTACACATTATTGTACTCTATGAGATTTATTTCAAGCAGTTGTCCAATTTTTGCTACATCTTCCACTGACGTAGGGTACCTTTGGTAAGTCATCTTCTAAGGGTGGAGGGGGTATAATGTACGTCAATCAGAAAAGATAAGTGCATGCTCCAGAGTAGGACAAAAATTCTTCATCACGCCAACAATAACAACTGTCGGGGAGAGGGATTTGCTTGCGCCAGGCTAATGAGATGTTTACAGATACGAGTTCTGTGCAGAAAATTAAAAGGTACCAAGCTGATGGTTTGTTTTTTTATATAAATCAAAGTGCAAAAATCAGTACAGATACACTCTGCAGGTTTGCATTATACTGGACACTAAGTTCAGTAAGGTGACTGTAAATTATAATTATAATACAAAACAACTAAAAGACCATTTCTTCAGCAGATCGAAGGAGCATTAGCAGATTTTCCAGAATACTTCCTTGTCTTCTTCCCTCGATCTCTACCACGTGTGCACCAAGGTCAACTGAGGTGCTCAGCTCCAGCGGAAGGGAACGTGGCGTGGTCGGTCACCTCCTTCCTTCACCAGTGGTTTGTGGAATTCCCTGCCAGCACGGGAGTGGATGCTAGCCCAGCAGTACTCGCAGTAATATTGCAAGCAAGTAACGTTGGCACAGAAGAACGGGGCAAATTTCCCACCACAGCGCGTGCCCTGGCATTCATCACACATCTGGTCATCCAGCACATATGGCTTTACTTCAACCTGGAAAAAAGCAGGAAAGGATAATTAGAATAAACGGAAAGAGAAAATCGTAAAAAAAAAATAAAAATAAAAAAATAGTTATTTTATAGTAGAGAGGAATGTAACAGAAAATGTATGATGAATGTTTAAATGGAGTTATCCAAAAAAGGTTTCATATGACCTAACCGGTTTCCAACACTTTTCGTCTCTCTGTTCCGGTCTTGTCAGAAATAGTTCTGGTGGAATTTTCCACCAGAGACTTTTAAGGAATTCTGCATTTAGTTGTCCATTTTTCTAGCAAATAAAGGTCGTAGAGTAGAGTAGCTAGCACAAACCATATACAGACTATTTGTTATGAAACACAAGTAAAAGAAGCACAAGGGTAGCACCCAGCAGAGGTTTAGAGGATGCATATTAAAACTAAATGTTTGGATAGTGTATTCCAGGAAACACACAAGGTTTTAAATAAATACATTGGGTTTGTTATGTAGTGGATTTTATTTAAACCACGAATGATCAATATATTTCCAATGTTACCTAAGCAACTTCAGAACGTTCGGACATTCAGAGTGGGCAGGGTTAAATCTCTGATGCAATGGAGAAACTCCGGAATCGATAAGTGGTGCTCCCCTTCTGTCAGCTGGGCCATATTTAGTGGCCCCAGACTGATCGATGAACTGCATACAGCCCTTTAAATCAGCGTGGATAAGGATCACGTCCAGCCACAGTGACTATCGCAGAGTCCCAGGGGACTCATGGAGAGTGTGCAAGTCTCACAGCATTAATGTGTTCCTGCCACCCCCCTCCCTATTCAGGACCGGACTGGGAATGAAAAGCAGCCCTGGAAAAAAAATTCTATACCAGCCCCGTAATGCATTGCGCCAGCATAGTGCGCAGATATGGAAGCGGGAAAAAAAAAAAAATTTAAACTGAAAACTATCACTCAAACGTGAAAGAAAGCACTCAAAGGACTTCAAAATAAAAGAGCAGATTTATTGTAAGCAGACGGCGTTTGCATATATTCAATGTTTTAGTCCATTTTCTTGCTACATTAAGAAAAGTTTGGTAATTTGAACTGAAATTGTGAATGTATGCTATTGCACAGCAGTAAAAAAAATAAAAATAAAGTGTGTTATCTAAGTAATAGGAGTGTACTCTTCACTTTGGCTTACAACCGGATACATTTCAGTCAATGCCAATTCAATAACCATAGGAAAACATTGAGAGGCTATTGTCATTGCAACAATCATCTCCTCATAGAGATGCATTGCATCAATGCATCACTATAGGGAGCGGTCAGCGCCTCCATGCAGAGCGTGGAGATACTCAACATAGGTGCTGCACTGGACTAGGAAGCATCTCTAGTGGCCGTCTAAGTGACTGTCACTAGAGATGTGCCCAGGCAGCAATGGAGTCTCTGAAAAGGTAGCATTTACAGTGCTCAGCCTACAAGGGCAGGCCATAGACATCAGAACCACTACAATAAACTGTAGTAGTTCTGGTGACTAGTGTCCCTTTCCCAGATCCTCTGTGTGTCTCATTCTCCACTTTCCCAGACCCTCTGTGTGTCTCATTCTCCCCTTTCCCAGACCCTCTGTGTGTCTCATTCTCCCCTTTCCCAGACGTTCTGGGTGTCTCATTTTCCCCTTTCCCAGACCCTCTGTGTGTGTCATTCTCCCCTTTCCCTGACCCTCTCTTTTTTTTTTCAAAATTCTTTATTTTTACATGACAGGAACAGTGGCACAGGAGTTACATTCCGGCTTTCGCAGAAGCCCATATACATCTTTATATTAAGATCACATTCTAACCCTGAGGCTTTGTGTATGTGAGTAACTTCTCTGCGGCCAGATTTCACTGTCCGTCCCGATTTTTACAATGCCGAAGCACGGTTTCCTTATATACCCTATTGTGTGTGCCATTGTTACGCATTTTCGCACCGCTAGTGTGTTGTCACACCCTCGAGTGCATATCTGTCGGGTTGTTGTGTCCCTCGCCCGTCTACCCGCTCTACTGCTTGGTCCAACCACACCCCGTTGCACTCTCCTGGCCTGCCTAATTCGAATGCATGTGCTGCGTACTTTTCGGCACTCTCTTCTATTCGTGCTCCATAGAGAGGGGTTAAGAGAATAGAGAAGGAAAAAGAAAGGAAAGAAGTGAAAGAAGAATCCTTAGGCGGTCTAGGGTCTGAGCGCGGGAGGCCGAGGGGCAGCAGGAGGGGGCACAAAGCACAGCACACACCCAAGCGGGAACCGCCCGTAAGTCCCTCAGGACCCCCCTCCCAGGCCACCACGACCACCTTGGTCTGTTCTGCCTAGGCCGCACCCCTCCCCCCACCGCGCCCCACGGGGATTCGACCCATGGCTCCGATACCCTTTGGAAGGTCTTGGTGGTGCCCCTGACCCTAGCGGTAAGGTCATCCATCACCTGGATGTCTTTTTTTTATTTTATTTTTTTAATTCTTTATTTAACAATCGGCAATGACATAACAAGCAGACCGCCGCACATATATTCCCCATTTTCCTGCTGATTACATTGCTAATGTAAAAAGAAAAACAGAAAAAACCCCAAGACCCTGGGCTCCAACCACAGTCCCCCAGCTCCCGCTCCTCGAGCCCAGTCCCATGGTCGTGCACTTTGCTCAGAGTTCTGGCTTGTATGTGTGTCCCCTCAGCTCTTTAGCAGTCCCTTCCCATGTCAATGCCACATTACTCAGAAGTCCAACTTAACAGTAATAAACCAGAAAGAATGAAATTGACTCCATCCTCCTCCTAAATCCATCACCTAGTCACCCCAGGCCTCTGAACCCCCATTCCATCCCTACCCCCTTCAACCCCCCCTGAGGAGGAACGCTATTCCTTGGGCCAATTTCCGTCCTCTGTCCTGTCGACCTCCCTATAGCAGCCTGGCAGATGAAGATAAGAACTCCACTATTCACCTACCAACCGGTCGTCTTGCTTTTTAGAGAAAATGACTGTGTAGTTTGCTATGTCCCTCCCCAAGTCCCCAGAACCTTTTGCCTACACTATCTATAGTGGGCCTGTGGTGACTAACCTAATCTTCCGATGGAAACCAGAATTGTGAGAGAGGAGTAGGATCGCAAAGAAGCAGAGAAGAAAAAGAGAAGGAAGAAAAGAGGGGAAGGCGGGGTAGAGGAGGCAAAAAGGGGGTGCACACGCTAGGTCCCCCCCCGTGCCCCCAAGGGGGAGCTCTCCCATGGCTCCCAGACCCTCTGAAAGGCCGGTAGGGTATCTCGTATTCGAGCTGTCAAGTCGTCCATAAGATGCACTTCCCGAATTCTATACAGCACTCCACCAATCGTTGGGGCCGTCTGTTTCAACCAATTTGCCGCAATGGCTCTCCTTGCTGCCAGGGTAATTTTATGCAGGAGTTTCTGTTCCCTACGGGTCCACCCTTCTATTGCCCTGCTCAGTAGGTAGACCCACGGGTCTAATTCCGGGGCCCTGGAAAAAACCTGAGTGATCACCTCCCTAACTTGCTTCCAAAATTTACCTATCTCTGGGCATTCCCACCACATATGCTTATAGGTACCTTTGGCCCCGGACCCCCTCCAGCACAGGTCCGTGGGAGTCTTCCTCATGTGGTACAGTTGAACAGGGGTGGTATACCACCGAAGCATCGTTTTTACCGACTGTTCCTGCATGGTAACACAAACCGAAGAGGAATGATTGGCCTCCCATATTTCCTGCCACTCCACCCCCTCCAGTTGTTCCCCTAGATCCCTTTCCCATTGCGTTATGTATGTGAGGTGTCCCCACTCTTTAGTCTCGGTACAAAGATGCTTATAAAGGAGCGTGATCAAGCCCTTAGGCATACGTTCCTGGAGGGATATGCCCTCAAAGAATGTCATTTTCTGTTGCGTTGCTGCTTGAATGTGTGGGTATTTTGCGTAATCTTTGATCTGTAAATAGCGGAAAAAATCCGCTGGGGTAAGATGGCCTAATTGTCTCAGGGACTCAAACGAAATAAACTCCCCACCCTGAAAGAGGTGGCAAATGCGCTGGAGCCC